TATATATATATATATATACTACTATATGTAGTAATATATCATTGTGTGTTTGTCTGTAAAAAAAAAGAAAAAATACGTCCAAAAATTTTCCTAGAATAGAATGTAAAATTAGTTTCGGCTGAAATATCGAAAGAGGTTATTTTCGGTTCAGGTTTTTGGCTAAATTACATTTCAAATTTTTTTTTGCAATTTTAATTTCTCTAAAAAATTATTTGGTGCATCACTAATTCTGTGATCATTTGCTGACCCTCAAGTTGTTCCAAACCTGTACGACTTTCTTCCATGGAACAAAAACGGAGACGTTTTTAAGAACAATTTAGTCAACTGACTCCATTGAAAAGCTCTTGCTCAAAGCAATGATTAATTTGCAAGCTAGACATCCCTACTTCTTTTTGTTCCTCACACAACGCTACAATATGGTTCAGAGGACACAAAATATAGAGCATGAATCATATTGACCACATTTATAATAATTTTATGGTGCTTTTTCAACTTTTTTGAAGATATGTAAAAGAGCAGCTAGGACGTTCTTCAAAATGTCTCCGTTTTTGAACCCAGTCTGTCATACAGGTTTAGAACAACATGAAGGTGAGTAAATAATAATTTTTTGGGTAAACTGTATATTTATAAGGTCCAAAATCCCAGAACATCCTGGAATTAGTTGCTATTCCTAAATTAATGTCTCTATTCTAATCTAATCTAATGATGCTGCTCATGCCGGTAATTGAAGTTCCTGACAGTAACTCTGGGTTGTGATGCTCTATCACATCGTCTGACGGATTCGGTCTGACTCGACGTTCTCTCGTAAAGGGCTAATTTGCTTAGATCTTGCGGTGGATCCAATTACGAGGGACACAGAACAGGGTATTTTCAATTCGCATGTCTGGAGATAGCGCTGCAAAGAGAGAGAATGGGTGTAATGAAAGTAACCAGCAGGAAGGAGAAGCACAAGTACTTACGGTGGGGTAAGTTCTGTTCTGGTTTGTCCATATGCTAGACTCATTGCTCATGGTCCAAGCCAGAGAGAGTGTCCCCCCTGAGGAAGACATTACAGGAATTCAGGCAGCTGCTTTGAAGCTGGTTTTGGCACTAAAGTAGGATTTAAATTGTCCTTCACAAGGAAAATAAAACCAATGCATCCCTGAAGTTTCCTTTGAATGATTGTGAAATACTCAGCTTTTAAGCCAAAATATAGTTCCCAGATATGTTTGATTGCAACTCTTGTACATACAAACACACACACACTTATGCAATCCTGTGACAAAATGTCACCCTTTCCCTCCCAAAAATCCCTTTTCATTTCCTCTTTTATCCAGTGGCTGTGGCAGCATATGCTCCCCTTAAAACCATCAACGACAGCTTTCTGCATAAACTGCAAAAAAAACCCTGCTCTCTCACTCCTGCACTCACCTCCCAAGCAGTCCTTGTTTATTTAATGCTGCGACGCTGCCTTTTCTCCCATTATCTGAAGGCAGCGTGTGTTTGTGTGCATTAGATGCAGAGATTGCAGCATGTTTGAAGGCTCGGACTGCAAAGCTTTAGGCTCCTGCTGCATACTCATCCAGCTTCTGCCCACCTATCTGTTTTCATAGCTTCTCTCTCTCTTTCTCATCTCAGGGTCTTTAGCGTTCCTGAGATCATTTAAGCTTGTTTTTTGTGTCTCGGATACATAATGCTGCTGTAGTGTTCACAGAGACGTCTAATGTACTGTTATTAGACATAGATATTAAACAAATCAACAGAGACCCATTTGAAATGTTCCGGACTGTTCTTTCAGATTTAATGGCGTTGCCAGATTTCCTTTTTAATTACTTTGTCACTTTCACTTGTGATTTATTTGGTTTGCACCAATTCTGTTTGTAAATAAATATTTTGCTTTATGATACACTGCAAAAAAGTGAAAATGTACAAAATGCATGTTAAAAACTACCTTTGTTTGTGTAGTTTAAGTGGTCAGGTTGATTCGGTTGTGCTTTGACTTAAATAAAGTTAGTTTGTGTTACTACATTTTAGGTTACCTGAAGAAACATATTTTACAGTCTCTAACACAATCAACGAACTACGGTGAACGTTATGCAGCATATGCTCTTGTCATGCCTGCCAGACTCTGCGGAGGTGTATTACATTCAAAAATCTCTCCATAAGCATTTCTTATAGATTATTTGTTAAAAAAAAAAAATGTAATACCTTATTTACATTTCAACATTAATTCCTACAACAAACTGGTATATTCATGTTTAATTCATGTTTAATCACTAGTAAGTAATACAATACCAACAATTATCTTTTTCATCATCACTACTGTTTATCCATTAAGTTCTATTAGCTATTTTAACAATGATAAGAAAATACTCCATTGCTACTGGTAACAAATGTAATTTTATTTCAGTTGGAAAAATTTACTAATTATTTTGTTCAAATATATCATTTAATCAGACAAGTACTCAAATGATTGCTGGTATTTATTCCATTTTTACTAAACATTAATTTGAGATCAGTATTTATTTTAATTACTTACTACTGGGGTTATTAAAGTTAACTACAACTAAAAGCGTACAAAAAAAATACATGTATTTTAAAATACATTCTAACTGAACTAAAATAAATTATAGAAAAATCCTTACATTAATTACATTTTTAGCTAGTTGCCAAGGCTACGTTTGCTTTTTCATTTTTATGTAGTTTAAGTTAATGTACAAAAATGACTAAAACTGAAATAAACATTTATAAAGAAAAATATAGACATTAAAAAAATGAAAATGATAAAAATTAAAAACACAATGGCAAGAACTTTAAATTAATTCAAATGAAAGCAGAACATATAAAAATAAAAACTAATTAAAAATATCAATAAAAGCTGTAATTTGATCTCAATGGTACTAAAATAACACTGGTAACTGTTTAAAAAGTTACAGTTTTTCAGTTTTCCTAGTAGGCTATATCTTTTTAGACACTAGTATTACTGTTTTAAATGAACATTTTAATTGTACTGGCAATATTTAAATTATAACTATAAAGTAGCTATTCTGCATGGACATTTAATATTGCATGCATTGCAACTTTATAGTTATAATTTAAATATTGCCAGTACAATTAAAATGTTCATTTAAAACAGTAATACTAGTGTCTAAAAAGATATAGCCTACTAGGAAAACTGAAAAACTGTAACTTTTTAAACAGTTACCAGTGTTATTTTAGTACCATTGAGATAAAATTACAGCTTTTATTGATATTTTTAATTAGTTTTTATTTTTATATGTTCTGCTTTCATTTGAATTAATTTAAAGTTCTTGCCATTGTGTTTTTAATTTTTATCATTTTCATTTTTTTAATGTCTATATTTTTCTTTATAAATGTTTATTTCAGTTTTAGTCATTTTTGTACATTTATATATATATATATGCATATTTCGATGTTGACCAGAAACAAATATACAGTTCACAGACGTTTTGTGACTTATCCCAATGGATCTTAAGCTATTTAATGGCATATGAGCAACATTATACAGTTAAAAATATAATAATAATCAGAGATCAAAAACGGAATCAAGCCATTGTTTTGATCACCATCTATAAACAATGTCCACCAGCAAGCATGCACAATAAAACATTTTGCTCGCAAGTGATACTTACCTTGAATTTTCTGTTTTCTTCTCACTCTCATATGTGACTGTAAACATACTCTTCAATGACAAGTGCACTAATTTTTTACTTGAAAAACTTTGCTGTAATGGAAATGACGTCACTAACTGAATATTGTTGTGCGAAACATTGATAGACATCAACATATCCTCAATTTCCCCCAATTTTTTTATTAGGCCTACTATTTTTGGAAATCATTATCGTTTTATTTTATTAAACTTTTAATTGATTTGCCGTATTTAACTTGTTGTTTATTTATCTTGAAGTTTGTTTGTTGTTCTGTCAATACTCTTTAATGTTCTCCTAAATTTATTTGTATATGTTTTTTTTGGGGGGGGGGTGCTTGATAAAGCCCTTTGGGTAGGGCTGTCAAAAAAATCGAATTTCGAATATTCGTTGAATTTAAAATAAAAATCCACATTCTAATGCAAAAACGTTGCACTCGAATTTTAGGTGTGCCTCAGGTAGCCTTACTGGCGCACAAGATGTTTTTGTTAGCCTATCCAGTTGAAGCCACTAGATGCGGCGCTGCTGCGTTGTTCATTCAAAATATTACGAAAAAAGAGAACATCAATGCGGGGAAGATCTTGTTTACATCAAAACTGAAACCAAGCCGTTCACACAGAACACATATTTCGCGCATTTTCTAGAGGGACATCTATCAGCGTTGCACTCGCATCTCGCACAAGAGAGCCACATGTTTAGAAAGCCATGTAAAATTAATGCAAGTTTAACTTTGAAAAAACATATATCGAGACTTTATGGCTGTTTTTTCCCCATCCCACTGCATCTCAAGTTTTTAAATGAAAAATGTACTCTGTGTGATTGGCTTTCCGCCCTTTGTATTAAACTATGCATACATACATGATGCTGTTTTGTTTATAGTTGTTTAAGCAGCTTAATTAATTATAATTGGTTTATAAACATTATTTTAAACATTATGCACTTTTTTTTCACAGATAGCCATGTTATCTTATGCTTTGAATAAACGTGCATTAGAAATATTCTGCTCGATGCGCCCTCTTGTGGCCTCAGGAGAGACGCCAAAAGCTTTTCTTCACCCTAGTGAAAAGTACAAAATTAGAATTTTGTTTTTCAGCCATTTTGACAGCCCTACCTTTGGGTACATAAAGGCATATAAATACATACATACATGCATACATAAAATGGTTTGTGTTATTTCCCGCTCATAAAAGTTTCAAACGTGTAATAATAATGCATATTTTAAGATCAATTTTAACATTTTTAATGTTTAATCTAAATCTAGGACTAGGCTAAACAAATTTATATAAAAATGGCATGACAAATGTTGAAAAACATGTATAATTATGTGAATAAATAATAACCTCCGCATAAATCAAAACTACAGGAAAAGGAATTCGAGGGTAGACATTATTTTTCTATTCAACCTAAAGTTAAGAAAATATGTTTTTGTACTTGTCCATCTCGTAGGGACTCCGTTAAGCTATAATTCGAATTTTGATCATATTTAAGTACAAAATTAGAATTTTGTTTTTCAGCCATTTTGACAGCCCTACCTTTGGGTACATAAAGGCATATAAATACATACATACATGCATACATAAAATGGTTTGTGTTATTTCCCGCTCATAAAAGTTTCAAACGTGTAATAATAATGCATATTTTAAGATCAATTTTAACATTTTTAATGTTTAATCTAAATCTAGGACTAGGCTAAACAAATTTATATAAAAATGGCATGACAAATGTTGAAAAACATGTATAATTATGTGAATAAATAATAACCTCCGCATAAATCAAAACTACAGGAAAAGGAATTCGAGGGTAGACATTATTTTTCTATTCAACCTAAAGTTAAGAAAATATGTTTTTGTACTTGTCCATCTCGTAGGGACTCCGTTAAACTGTGTAGCTTGAGGTTGGGGCACTGTGGGTTAAATTACTTTTTGTATATTGTAGGAAAGCATATTTCTGGATTATGTGAATGTGGGAATATGGAAACAGTAGGGCATGTTTTCTTGGAATGTAGGAAGTATAATGCAGAAAGAAAAGCACTTTTTGATAAATTGGCAGAAAACAGTGTTTTCTGTTACTTCTTTGTTTGGACACAGTGATAAACATAAACTGATCTCTGAGGTAGTTCTTCAGTTCTTGCATAATACAGGACTGCATATAAGAATTTAGTTCAAACTTTGACCTGTGGAGGGCAGTAATACGCCTAGTAGCGTCTACACTGCCGGAAAGACATAGGAAGAAGAAGAAGAATCAAAACTACATGTCCCATCAGCCCCACAGTCCTCGCAAGGCCTGACGGGAAAGTTTGCCCGTGCCCTTGTCCTATCAGCCGCGCACTCTCTGACTGACTGTGTGGACAGGGAAGCCGAGGCTTGTGTATTACCGTGCTGTAAA